CCAGAAAATGTTTCTAACCAATCACCTCTCTCCAGATAATTTCTCCAGACCATTAATGTCACCAATCATCTCTGCAGACCATTAATGTCACCAATCATCTCTGCAGACCATTAATGTCCCCAATCACCTCTTCAGACCATTTATGGGACCAATCACCTCTCTCCAGATCATTTCTCCAGACCATTAATGTCACCAATCATCTCTCCAGACCATTAATGTCACCAATCACCTCTTCAGACCATTAATGTCACCAATCATCTCTCCAGACCATTAATGTCACCAATCATCTCTCCAGACCATTAATGTCACCAATCATCTCTCCAGACCATTAATGTCACCAATCATCTCTCCAGACCATTAATGTCACCAATCATCTCTCCAGACCATTAATGTCACCAATCATCTCTCCAGACCATTAATGTCACCAATCATCTCTCCAGACCATTAATGTCACCAATCATCTCTCCAGACCATTAATGTCACCAATCATCTCTCCAGACCATTAATGTCTCCAATCATCTCTCCAGACCATTAATGTCACCAATCATCTCTCCAGACCATTAATGTCACCAATCATCTCTCCAGACCATTAATGTCACCAATCATCTCTCCAGACCATTAATGTCACCAATCATCTCTCCAGACCATTAATGTCACCAATCATCTCTCCAGACCATTTATCCCAGTTGTTGTCTACCTGCCCAGGGCTAATGGTCAGCTCAACCTTTTACAGCAACAGATAGGAAATGGGTTTATGTTCTAATGAGATTTGTGACAGACTGAGCATGCCCAAGGCGGTGTGGATAAATGGATGAATGCACGTGAGCTCAGACAGCTCCCTCCAGCCACAGACAACCCCACTGAACCCACTCTTGCACACACCATCCATTTTATGTACATCATGTTTTTTTCCCAAAGCCATTTGGAATCCATGGTACATTTTAGTATGGCACTTCTCTTTTTCACTGTCGGTGTTTTACTCTCTTGGGGAAAGTATGTTTACGTTGCAAAAACACTGTATTTTAAAAAGTTGAACTATCCTATAATTTAGTTAGTGTATTCATCAGGGTATCTTTTCTGCTTTTGTATGTTTAAATCAGAGTACCACCGTTCCTTCCCTGCAGACTGTGCATGGTGTAATCTACAGGCTGTCCCTGAAGATATTGGGTTGATACATCCATAAATGTTTTATGTGTTCTGCATTTTAAATGTGTGGCCAAGACTAAAGGGAAATAGTTTTCATTTCAAATGGGTTATTGGGGGAATAACTGTTATGTTAATATTGTAACAAAAAGCAAAGTCTGCCTTTTCTTGTCTATGTTTTTAATGTACATTTGATTCCAGGTGGTTAATGTGTTTCAGCGGGGAAAAGGCTGAGTTATGCCAACGCATAATGAATCCCTTATACTGTATGATGCATGAATATTATGCTAAATTAATTTATATACTGGTAAATGTGGCAATGTAGCTTATTGTTTGAGTAACTTCCTGTGTCTATACAGTATTGTCATACCATACATAACAGAGTCTGTCTGGCCTTGGTCCTTCGTTCAGAGTGCTTTCATACTGAACATTGCCATCGGTAATTGCTTGGAGATTTCTGTCTGTCTTCCTGGCACCCATCCATCAGCACTGCTGTAGGGTTCTGACACTCATTCTAGCATTCTTTAGAATTCTACCACGCTTAAGTGAAAATGTGCACAATGACGTTGAACCTCCCAACTGAGGACTATAACACTGAACCGCCCATCTAAGGATTTTGCATGAGTTGTGAAAGACACGTAAAAAAAAAAAGACATTTGGCACATTTAAATTCCCTCATCACCTGTGGTCTACTCTAAGGCCGTGTTTACACAGGCAGCCCAATTCTGATCTCATTTTCACTAATTGGTCATCTGACCAATCAGATCAGCTCTGAAAAAGATCTGATGTGATAAAAATCTGATGTGATGTGATTGGTTAAAAGACCAATTAGTGGAAAAAATAATTGGTCTGCCTGTGTAAACACAGCCTAAGTACTACTTTAGGGCCTCAACAACATGTGTCCCGTAGGTGTCAAGGCTTTAGGGCCTCAACAACATGTGTCCCGTAGGTGTCAAGGCTTTAGGGCCTCAACAACATGTGTCCCGTAGGTGTCAAGGCTTTAGGGCCTCAACAACATGTGTCCCGTAGGTGTCAAGGCTTTAGGGCCTCAACAACATGTGTCCCGTAGGTGTCAAGGCTTTAGGGCCTCAACAACATGTGTCCCGTAGGTGTCAAGGCTTCAGCTGTCAGTAAGTCTTGTTAAATCAACCCAGGAACTCAGGGAGGACAGGACACTGAATGAAATCAGTGACTCTACTGCTGCAATCGGTTATCTCATTTTACTTTATACAGAATGGCTGCGTCCCAAATGGCACCCTATTCCCTACATAGTGCACTAAAGTACACTCTTAGAAAAAAAGGTGCTATCTAGACCCTAAAAGGGTTATTCGGCTGTCCCCATAGGAGAACCCTTTGAAGAACCGTTTTTGGTTCCAGGTAGAACCCTTTTGGTTTCCACATAGAACCCTTTCCACAGAGGATTCTACATGGAACCAAACTTTTTTTTCTACCTGAAACCAAAAAGGGTTCTGCCTGGAACCAAAATGGGTTCTCCTACGAGGACAGCCGAAGAGCCCTTTTGGAACCCTTTGTTCTAAGAGTGTAGTGCACTATGTAAGGAATAGGGTGCCATTTGGGAAAGCAATCTATCTTATATAACATGTCTGTCTAGAGAAAGTGGGACATTGTATAGTATGAAATAGACTGGGTGTGTTGTAGAATTAGCTCAACTCTTGGCTTCCAGGCCAATGGAGCTGCCCGTTTAGCTTATCCGATGTTCAACCCTTACCCTAGTCTGGGGCCCTTAGACTTGGATAGACATGGAAATATTGCAAGCATTGGGAAGGAACTAAGGAGTCTCATTTCTATAACCATTATTAATCTACAATTGTTTCTTGTGGCTATAATGAAATATGTAGGTTCTTGTTCATTCTGTTGTTCCTGATTTGCAGAGCTACAGGGTGTTACAGGCTGCTAATGATCTAGCTAGTCCATTACCTGCACTTCCATTCATCCTAAACATCCACAATGTCAGCAGCATTACTGTTGTATTCCCTCAACCACATCATCCACCACTGGCATTCATCACTCACCACAGACAGCTAGACTGGTAACAATTTCATACATCTCAATATCAGCTAGATGACGTTTTTCACCTAGATTCTGGGTGAGTTCTGTACATTCTCGTGACACTTTGATTAAGTGGGTGCAATTGTCCGGGTTGTAGATTGAAGGGGAAACAGTTTGTCGCGTTCGAGGCTGATAGCCCCCCGGATATTTGAATGGAGCGCATCTGTGTAAAATTGGGTTTAATTCAAGTTATGCCACTCACTCCATCTCCTGAAGCAAGCCTATATGTTTTTGTTTTTACGAGAAGTTTGTTTTCCGCCATCAGTTCAGTTTATGTATAACATGCCTACAGGGGCAAAGTCAAGATCAGCCAAGGAGACAGAGTTCTTTGTCTGTGAAACTGAATGACATTTTATTTTAAACATGTACTGTAATGTAATGTAATAACAAAATAATACATACAATCTCTTCTGTGTTTTTTTTTCTTAATTTTGCTTTTATTTGAAAGGGAAAATATATAATTCAATAAATATTGTAGCAACATCAATGGGACACAGAAATACAAAATGTACATTTAAAAAAGGTGATGATGACCTAATGATAAAACGCTTTTCATAACAAACAACTGTTTCTTTCTTTTCATTAATTTCGGAAACAGAAAGCATTAGCCAGCTAGCTGATGATACTGCCCTAGGAGAAGCTGTTCTGAAAACATTTGAAAAGCATCGCGAGTTTAATAAAGGTATTGGAATATTCCAGAATTCATGTAGCTTTTTAGCGAAGCCTTGATCTTTAAAAAGTGCATATATACTTTAGACATATCCAGTGAACAACGTCCTTCAACCAACGTCATGCTTCATTTGTTTCATTCGTTCCCCTCCCTTGCTGACAGCAGGTTCAGAAGGGGTTGCATAGCTGAAAGGGCATGTGCATAAACTGTTCAGCATCACATCACAATACCCTGTCTATCACCACGCCAACCAGATCAAAAGTCCTAGGATGTCAAAGGTCATTGGTTTAAATCATATGGGCTTACAGTAAATGTTACAAAATACAGGAAAGACTAGAACAACGGGACCATTAGGTCAGGAAACACTTGACTTGCAACCACAAGAAGGGGGAAGAGAAACAAACAAGCTGATGGAAACCACAGTGATGTGCTGCGTGTGCAGTGTCATGCCACTTCCTTGTCTTTACAGCAAGATCTTTGATCCAGGGCAAGATGGCCGCTCGTCTTCAACGTTCCAGAGTGCACCGCTGCAGTCTCTCGTTGTCATGGAGTCAGCTGTACAGACGGGGGTGAGGCCATCATCATTTTCAGTACATGTACAGCGTGGGTCTCTTATTCACATATTTTCCGAAGTTCTTAGAAAAACGTCCGGGACTCACTCAACTTTTCCTACGTGACATCACTTCCTGTGGAAATGCTAATTTCCTGTGAAAGGCCATGACCACTTCCTCATCCAGCTCTAAGAGCAAACAGTGTCACTTCCTCCCGGGAAGCCACCGGAAGGAAGGCAGCTTGTTGGCCCGAAGCAGAGATAGCTTCCTCTTCTGGTAAAAGATATGTAAGGGAGATGGATGGTAGACAGGGGGGCTACACTGAAAGACTATTGTGTTGTCATTGGCACGGTGTATTCCAGCTACATTTACATTGTATGATGCATATACAAAACTCCACCCCAGGACAAGCAAGCCAATGGCTTTAAAGTGCAGGAAGGGAAGGGCCTCACCCTCTAATTTCCCAAAATGCACTATGCTCTGACCTTTAACCCCTGTCCTCACTGCTTGCTTCAATCCCAGCCTACAAACCCACTCCTTGGGTCGTGACCCTGCCCACCAGGTCACATGACACTGCAACTCTTCGCTTTGTCCTTCCGCAGGTCTGATGCTACCGCCGTGAGGTCGGGCCTACTGGGCATGTGCGAGATCCTTTTGTTGCCTCTGGTGGATTTGTTGCGTTTGACGTTCTTGTTGTTCTTGTTGACGCAGGCCAAGGTGGCCACGTGGAAAATGTCCCTGACGCTGTTCTCTGACTGCTGGGCTGAGCACTCGATGTAGGGGGCTGAGATCTGTTTGGCCATGTTGGAACCCTGTAGAAAGAAAACACATTGGAAATGGAATTTCAGTTCAATTCCTGAATTGACTAAATTGAAATGAAATTGACCCCAAATCTGAAGACAATGCACTCTACAACCACCGTACCTGATCATATGACACAGGCATCTGTCTGTGATTGGATAGCTCCACCAGCGTGGAGAGGTCTGTGCGCAGGTCCGATTTGCAGCCCACCAGGAGCATCTTGGTGTTGGGACAGAACTCCTGGATCTCCCCTTTCCACTGTGGAGGACAGAGAAAGTCATTGAGACTGGGAGGACAGATCCAGACTAGCCATCAAATCCTTGCCTCCTCCTATCCTTGATTCCTCAATTCCTCGCCTCCCTCTCAAAGCTCATTGGATGCAGAGGTACAAGAGGAGGGACCTTGGAGCCTCTCCTCCAATGGATTTTGAGAGAGAGAGAGGAATTGAGGAATCAAGGACTGGAGGTATCAAGTATTTGACGACTTGTACACTTTCTTCAGACAGAACCTGAGCCCTCTCCTTCTGACGGACAAAGCCACTTCCTGTTACCATGCTGCGTCACACGGCTTTGAACCCAGGAAGGAATGCAGTATCAGAGGCTTTAAGGCCATAGATAATCCTTCACGTTTCCTCTCAAACACAATAAACACTCTGGGATCAATGGCCTTTAATTGGTGGATATAATCTGCTACTAATGCAGTCTGGAGAACAAGGCTTTAATTGGTGAATATAATCTGCTACTAATGCAGTCTCGAGAACAAGGAGTGTTTGGCTGGCTGACTGGCTGGACATTGAGGGGATCATGTTCAGTGTTGTACAGACAGGTGATTGTTTGAACTGGCCAAGAGGAAGGAAGGAACTCTGTTTTGGAACGGAACCTTCTCATGGTTCTTTTTTCTATGGCAAAGTCACATCAGAGGACACTAAAAGCGCTCTCAGGCCCCGACCCTACCTTTCCCTCCCATCCTCTCACTCTAACGCCCCCTAACCCATTACGACCTCTGTCTGTACCTCAACTCTCTAGTGGGCTAAGTGGAAAAAAATGGAATTAAACTGGAAATTACTGGGAAAACGTTCTGGGCCAGGTCAAGTGAAAAGGATATTAAAACTGGACATGTAGTTTCTTTCAAGTGAGGTAAAAGAGGAACACATGAAGGTCCATATTCTAAAGGCTGTAGAGGTTGACTAATGGTAGGTACACACCAGTGGAGGCTGCTGAGGGGAGGATGGCTCATAATAATGGCTGAAACGGAGAGAAAGAATGGCATTGAACACATGGAAACCATGTGTTTGGTGTATTTGATACCATTCCACCCATTCCGCTCCAACCATTACCATGAGCACGTCCTCCCCAATTAAGGTGCCACCAACCTCCTGTGGTACACACCTTCTTTATTACGCTGTCGAGTGTGTCAGGACGGCTGACGTCAAAACAGATGAGGACAGCGTCTGAGTCTGGGTAGGAGAGAGGCCTCACGTTGTCGTAGTATGGAGACCCTGAAACAACAGAACACAGCACAGGTCAGCACACGGAAAACTACAACTCACACAATACACAGAAAACTACAACTCACACAATACAAAGAGAACTACAACTCACACAATATACAGGAAACTACAACTCAGACAATACAAAGAGAACTACAACTCACACAATACACAGAGAACTACAACTCACACAATACACAGAGAACTACAACTCAGACAATACACACGAAACTACAACTCACACAATACACAGAGAACTACAACTGACATCAAACAACAGAAAATACACATACACACTCACACATACACAGAGAACTACAACTCACACATACACCAGAAACTACAACATCAATCAAATTATCACATGGACCAATAACCTAACTACTAACTCACAAACAAGAACTACAACCACACAAGAACATGGAAACTACAACTCACAAAATACACAGAAAACTACAACTCACACAATACAAGAAACTACAACTCAACAAAATACAGGAGAACTACAACTCACACAATACACAGAGAACTACAACTCACACAATACACAGATAACTACAACTCAGACAATACAAAGAGAACTACAACTCACACAATACACAGAGAACTTCAACTCAGACAAAATACAAACAGAGAACTAACACTCCTGCTGTGGATGTAAGAGATTGAGACAGAGTAAAAAACACACATGCACACATTCAGCATCCTATGGGCCAACCAAACCTGTCCAAACCAGATATTGACAGATTTTGCCTCAAAGTCACACAGGAAATCCAATAGTCATAGAGATGAAGATGTTTTGGTGATGAGAGACCATTTCCCAACAGCGAAGGACACAGTCATTAGCATCAAGATAATACACACTGGAAGAACATCAACAGAAGAGATGAAAACGTTATGCGGACTGCAGCAAAACGTGGTGTTTGAGTTTGAGGAGTGGGTTACTTTTCTCTTGAGACAGACCAGGGTTCCAGAGAAAGCAGAAACCTAGAAAACCATGCCAACCCCTTAAACTGGGACCATGTGTAGGAAAACGCCTCTCTCTTTCACTCCCTCCCTCCCTCCCTCCCTCCCTCCCTCCCTCCCTCCCTCCCTCCCTCCCTCCCTCCCTCCCTCCTCCCCCATCTCTGTAACAGCTTAGTGGTGAGAGGTATAGGCTTACATCAAGGTGAGCGACCGGGTCACGTGAGCAGCTGTGGAAACTAAAGTCTAGGGCTACCCACATGTAACACAGCCCCGCTGCCAAAGAATCCGGGGAATTTCGTTTTTTCATGTCTAAAGTGGCCGGGACCCTTGGGAGGTCTTTTCCACAAGCCCGGAGGAAGCCACCACACACACCCACCCACACACACACAGGAAGGAAGGCAGTATCTGGAAGCCGACCTAGCTGGATCAACATCCATTCATCATCCTCCTGCCCTGCTAGACACCCTATTCCCTATATCGTGCACTACTTTTGACCAGAGCGCTCTATATAAGTGCACTATATAGGGAATAGGGTGCCATTTCAGACACACCCAGGGTTTCTCTCTGTAGCTACTGCAAAGCTGGCCTTAGAGGGCTGATCATAAAAACCCTGTGTTTGGTTAGATGTTGAGGATGAGGGTAAGGATCAGTTAGAGGATGTTGAGGATGGGGGGTAAGGATCAGTTAGAGGATGTTGAGGATGGGGGTAAGATCAGTTAGAGGATGTTGAGGATGGGGGTAAGGATCAGTTAGAGGATGTTGAGGATGGGGTAAGGATCAGTTAGAGGATGTTGAGGATGTTGGTAAGGATCAGTTAGAGGATGTTGAGGATGGGGGTAAGGATCAGTTAGAGGATGTTGAGGATGGGGGTAGATCAGTTAGGATGTGGTAGATCGTTAGAGGATGTGGGATGGGGTAAGGATCAGTTAGAGGATGTTGAGGATGGGGGTAAGATCAGTTAGAGGATGTTGAAAGAAGTTAGAAGGATGTTGAGGATGGGGGTAAGGATCAGTTAGAGGATGTTGAGGATGGGTGGTATCAGTTAGAGGATGTTGAGGATGGGGGTAAGGATCAGTTAGAGGATGTTGAGGATGTTGGTAAGGATCAGTTAGAGGATGTTGAGGATGGGGGTAAGGATCAGTTAGAGGATGTTGAGGATGGGTAGGATCAGTTAGAGGATGGGTAGGATCTAGAGGATGTTGAGGATGGGGGTAAGGATCATTAGAGGATGTTGAGGATGGGGTAAGATCAGTTAGAGGATGTTGAGGATGTTGGTAAGGATCAGTTAGAGGATGTTGAGGATGGGGGTAAGGATCAGTTAGAGGATGTTGAGGATGGGGGGTAAGGATCAGTTAGAGGATGTTGAGGATGGGGGTAAGGATCAGTTAGAGGATGTTGAGGATGGGGGTAAGGATCAGTTAGAGGATGTTGGTAAGGATCAGTTAGAGGATGTTGAGGATGGGGGTAAGGATCAGTTAGAGGAGTGTTGAGGGGGTGGGGTAAGGATCAGTTAGAGGATGTTGAGGATGGGGTAAGGATCAGTTAGAGGATGTTGAGGATGGGGGTAAGGATCAGTTAGAGGATGTTGAGGATGGGGGTAAGGATCAGTTAGAGGATGTTGAGGTGGTAAGGATCAGTTAGAGGATGTTGAGGATGGGGGTAAGGATCAGTTAGAGGATGTTGAGGATGGGGTAAGGATCAGTTAGAGGATGTTGAGGATGTTGGTAAGGATCAGTTAGAGGATGTTGAGGATGGGGGTAAGGATCAGTTAGAGGATGTTGAGGATGGGGGGTAAGGATCAGTTAGAGGATGTTGAGGATGGGGTAGGATCAGTTAGAGGATGTTGAGGATGGGGGTAAGGACCATTAGAGGATGTTTAGATGGGGGTAAGATCAGTTAGAGGATGTTGAGAATGGGGGGTAAGGAATCAGTTAGAGGATTTGAGGATGGGGTAAGGATCAGTTAGAGGATGTTGAGGATTGGGGTAAGATCAGTTAGAGGATTGTTGGGGGGGTAAGGATCAGTTACGAAGGAATGCTTGCATGGCAGGGGTCAAGGATCATTGAGGATGTTTGAAACGTTGAGGAAATCAGTAAGGATACAGCCACTGGTGATCGTTCAATCTATTGGAGAGCCTTAGTATTAAGGTCTCAGTTAGAGATAGAGTCCAGATCCACTTCAGATAGTGACAGGCTTCCACAGGAACAGTCTGGGTGATGCCTCAGAATTATGCATGCCTCCTCAGGATGGGAAATTTTAAGGATTTGAATGGGAAGGTTCGTTAGATGTGGTATGGGGTAGTGATCATGTCTGACGGATTTGAAGAATGGTCACAACACATCAGTTCAAGGTATCCAATAAGACATCAAGGTGAGTGTAAGATCATTAGAGGTTTCAGATCGCATAAATACTGTTCACGCTGTGGAAATGGGTATTAGAGATGGATGGTAAGACTATGTGTCGGTTCATCTCAGTGGAGTGTAAGACCTTGAGGTCATTATGGTGACAGTACTGAAGAAGTCCCAACGGAGACAGAAGGAACACGACAAATGTCACTTTATGAGCCTCAATACTAGTAGCCACAACCACATCAGCATTCAATACTGGACAGGCTCCCACAATCTGCACATCGATCTCACCTCCCTCCAGAACTCTTTCTTTCTTTGTTCAGGTGAGTTGCTCTAGGTCATCTTATATTCTACAAAACATTCACACTTCACAATCAGTTCATGGCTATCCCAAAGACAATCAGTGGAGTGTATTTGGGTGTTTTCCTCAGCCATAAATAGCTGTTCCTCCCTGATGGAAATGTATTAGGAGGATGCTGCTATGTGTCCGTTTCATCCCAGCTGGATCTGAACCCCTGTGAGGTCATCTCCTGGTGCACAGCTGATAGAAAGTCCCACACACACACAGAGAGGAAGTTCCACAGTGGACAAAGTCCTGTTGACTGCCACCTCATTAGTTTCTGCTCTGTCCTTGTTCCCCTCAGGGCATTTTAATCTGAGAGGAAGGAAGACACCCACTGTTCTCCCTCTTTTGTTCTCTTCTCTCTCTCCTTCTCTTTTCTCTTGTTCCCTTGATCTCTATTTTTCAATATCTCTCTCTCTCTCACACACACACCACACACACACACACACACACACACACACACACACACAGACACACACACACAGACACACACTGATTAAGGAGTGGGTAGCTGCTGACACATGCTCCCTGTCTCTCTCTTCAGCCCTCAGAGTGACAGACGAGGCAGAGAGAGAGAGGCCTGACCACAGAGCTCTTTGTCTTAGGCTACGTCCCAAATGGCACCCCATTCCCTGTGCAGTGCACTACATTTCACCAGAGCCCATAGGCCTCGAGTGCACTTCATAGGGAATAGGGTGCCAGCTGAGCTGACAGCTGAGTGGAGCCCTGTGTGGACCACAACAGTTGTGCTCCATCTGAATCCTTCATTCCACATTTAGTCCTGCTGTCAGACCTCTGAATCCCATCATCCTTAAGCATGCCACTTAAGAAAAAGGCACTAATGCAAGGAGGAGTGTGTGTCAATGTGTGAGAGGTGAAGAACGACAGAGAGAGAGAGAGAGAGAGAGAGAGAGAGAGAGAGAGAGAGAGAGAGAGAGAGAGAGAAGAGGGAGAGAGATAGAGAGCGGAGAAGAGAGCAGAGAAGATCGAGAGAGAGAGAGAGAGAGATTCCTCTCTTGCCCCTGCCTCTCTCCCTCCGACTACTCTCTGTCTCCGGCTCTCTCTGCGCGCGGAGGAGCTCGCGAGGAGAGAGCTTCTGCGCGCTGAGAGCGAGAAGAGGCTGAGGCTTCGCGCCGCGCGGTCAGCTGATGTGTCAAGATTCAGTTGCCCCAGGTCACACAGTGTAAATGATTCAGTTACCCCAGGTCACACAGTCTATATGATTCAGTTACCCTAGGTCACACAGTCTATATGATTCAGTTACCCCAGGTCACACAGTGTAAATGATTCAGTTACCCCAGGTCACACAGTGTAAATGATTCAGTTATGCCAGGTCACACAGTCTATATGATTCAGTTACCCCAGGTCACACAGTCTATATGATTCAGTTATCCCAGGTCACACAGTGTATATGATTTAGTTACCCCAGACAGTCTTAGGATTCAGTATCCCAGGTCACACAGTGTAAATGACTCAGTTACCACAGGTCACACAGTGTAAATGACTCAGTTACTCCAGGTCACACAGTGTATATGATTCTACTGTACAGCTGGTCTAAGGCAAGTCCTCACAGTCATGCAAAAAAATGTTTCAGGCTAACAACGTAAGACCTTGTGGAAATATGCACCGCTCCTCCTAAGTTTGCAGAAAGATCTCAGCGTTTACAAAAGGGCTCTTTGTGCAGTAGCAAGTAGCAACCTTTCGTCCCCGGAATGTGAAACATGCAGCTCCAATCCGCTGAGCTCCAGAAATGGATCCGGATTGCAGGCAACAAAGGCTGGCTGCTGACTGTGGTCTGTAGAAGGGTAAGGGGAGGGAAGGCTTGCGAAAGCAGAGCCCAACTCAGCTGTCTAGAAGCCACAGAGTGGACAGTCAGTAGCCCATGACCAACTGACTCCAGAAACAAACAGGCTACAGGTTGGGATTCAGCATAGAGAGGTTAGTGAAGGAATGTGAATGGTGCCTGTGGAGCGTCTGAAAGGTCAATCACCCTGACGGTTGTCTCTCTGAGTGTCACTGGTCTCTTTGTGCTGGGTTGAACCAGCTGCTCTCTCCCTCCTATAGGCTGGCTCAGAGCGTTCAGTGTGCATGGACGGCCTACAACAGTGTCAACAAACGCTCTAGTAGTCAATCCATCATCCTGTCTCAACCACTGAATCCCACAGCAGTCCTGCGGGAGGCGTGTGTGGATGCAGGGAGAGAGGGAGGAGACAGGACGGCAACCAGCTGGTGCTGAGGTTCTTTGATTGCCCTTCATTTTTAGATAGTCTCCCAATGTATTGGTTTAGAAAATGAACAGGTAATATTGTTGAAATAAGTGGTGCGTGTTATTACACATCTGAAGTGATGCCTCAGGTACAAAGCAACAAACACCTTGAGGGCACTCCACTTCCTCCAAACCTCCCAGGTGGGTCAATGTACCAATGGAGGAGAATAGGGGTCGGATTTACGAACGGGCACGCAGGGTACGTGAACATGTCATAAGCCATGGCAAAATGTGTAGAATTACAGGAAATTAGCTTGAAAACTGCTAATTGTTCTTTCTGTCCCAAAATGTTTTCAATTGCAGGAAGTTAGCTGGAGGTAGGTGCTCCCAAATCCGGCCCTTGGGAGAATGGCTCCTGCAGATAAGCCCAGCTCAGCTCCAGCTTTATCCCTGATATCTAGCACCCCTCCTCCTCCCCCGTCCTCCCTCTTCTTCTCAGCATGTGATTGATATGGAGGACCCTGCAGGCTAGCAGCTGTTGGATTCACTCCCCCATTTGAAATCTCCCTAACTAACTCAGCAGCCCCAGCCCTAATCAATATGTTTCCTTCTACTGCTTGTCCTGCCGGGGAGCAGTAGGGGGGCAGGAACTCAGGCATCTGTGGAACTGGAGCCTGACCCTTCCAGAATGAAACCCACAACCCCTTGACCCTTCCAGGAAGGAACCCACAGCCCCCTGACCCCTGACCCTCCCAGACTGAAACCCACATCCCCCTGCCCCTCCCAGGACTCCCTACAGTACGAGGTGGTGGTGGACTGACTCTGGCCCCTTTGTTCTCTGTTGATCTGTGAAGCAGTTAATGAACCACAGACAGTCAGTCAGGGGGTAACAACAAAATGGAGGTCATTAAGGTAATGTCCTGGGAAGTTATCAACTCTTTGTGCTCATTCAGCTTCCCGCCTTAAGGGGTAAAGGTTATAGGCCTGCCGGCTGTGCCAAGGGGTGTCGAAACGTTTCTTTGAAATGTTTCTTTCATTGCGTCTCTCCTTGGATGTTGAAAGTGGAGGTGTCTATCTGAGGCAGTTTGCTAAGTTGACTGGCTGTCTGTCTGCCCCCTTTAATTAAGAGTTAGACTAGTGAGTTGATATGGGTTAAATAGCTTTATTTCAGTGGTATTCAAACCTTTCAAACCTTTTTCAACGGGGACCCCATTTTTTTCGCCAGCATTTCTGGGGAAGCCATTTTCCCCCACCCCACCCGACCACGTATCTAATGACACAACTTTCAAATCTGTAAATGTTATAGGAGGGGTGGCAGGTAGCCTAACGGTTAGAGGGTTGGGACAGAAACCCAAAGGTTGCTTGTGGAAGAATGTGCCGTTCTGCCCTTGAGCAAGGCAGTTAACCCCCACAACAACTGTTCCCCGGGCGCCGATGACCTGGACGTTGATTAAGGAAGCAACCCGCACCTCTCTGGTTCAGAGGGGTTGGGTTAAATGCGGAAGACACATTTCGGTTGAATGCATTCAGCAACTAGGTATCCCCCTTTTGATGTTTACATCGACAAATGACCTTCAATTCATTACATTTTCATCTTTCTTATAAAAATTAAGAGGACCAATAAATACATTTACTCAATAAAATAAAATAAAACATTTGTTTATTGTCCCATAAAATAATATATACTTCTAATTTTTGTAATCCTCCAACATTTTATATTTTTTTATTTGGCGACCCCACTGCAACTCCCCCACAAGTCATGAACCTGACTTTGAATACCACTGCATTATATCCATATGTGAGTGGTAGGCCTTTACTGTATTACTGGGTTGTGTTGTATACTATACTATACTATACTACTGGGTTGTTTTGTATACTATACTATACTGTATTACTGGGTTGTGTTATATACTATACTATACTGTATTACTGGGTTGTGTTGTATACTATACTATACTGTATTACTGTGTTGTGTTATATACTATACTATACTATACTGTATTACTGGGTTGTGTTGTATACTATACTATACTGTATTACTGGGTGTGTTGTTAATATACTATAGCCTAGACTATACTGTATTTCTGGGTCTTGGTGGTGTGTATACTATACTATACTATACCTGTATTACTGGGTTGTGTTGTATACTATAATATATACTAGACTATACTGTATTACTGGGGTTGTGGTTGAATACTATAACTATACTATACTGTATTACGTGTGGTTGTGTTGTATACTATAACCTATACTATACTATAGCTATACTATACTATAATATACTATACTATACTATCACTATACTATAAACTATACTATAACTATACCTGTATTACTGGGGTTGGTTGTTGTCACTAGACTATACTAGACTGTAAATTACTGGGTTGTGTTGTATATATAACTATACTGAATTACTGGTTGTGTTGTATACTATACTATACTTATACTATACTGTAGTATACATACTATACTGGTTATGGTTGTGTTTATACTATACTATACTATACTGTATTACTGGGTTGTGTTGTATACTATACTAGTATTACTGGGTTGTGTTGTATACTATACTATACTATACTGTATTACTGGGTTGTGTTGTATACTATACTATACTATACTTATACTATAATATACTATACTATACTATACTGTATTACTGGGTTGTGTTGTATACTATACTATACTATACTGTATTACTGGGTTGTGTTGTATACTATACTATACTGTATTACTGGGTTGTGTTGTATACTATACTATACTATACTGTATTACTGGGTTGTGTTGTATACTATACTATACTATACTGTATTACTGGGTTGTGTTGTATACTATATATACTATACTGTATTACTGGGTTGTGTTGTATACTATACTATACTATACTGTATTACTGGGTTGTGTTGTATACTATACTATACTATAACTATACTATACTATACTATACTGTATTACTGGGTTGTGTTGTATACTATACTATACTGTATATCCAGTACCTTACTTTTTCCTTGTTACTGTGAGAATTTGTGTTAGTCTGCTGCACCTCTACTCCTGTTTGGCTCCTCCCCTTCCTCTATGTCTCCTTGAAAACAAAGTGGACAGTGAGACAGAGCCCATCAACATGCAGCTCAGTCCTGGTAATGAGCAGAGCTCAGGTGTCTCTACCTTGTTAAAGCCTGGATAGAGGCAATGGAAGCATGGGATAAGCCAGTAGCTCAAAGGCCCTACTGAATAAAAGAGGGGTTCCCACTAGGGGATGCATAGGCTCTCCAGCACACACACACACACACACACACACACAGTCTCAGACCAGCTCTGTGTTTGCCAACTGAAACTGAGCCAATCACAGAGTCGTGCCTAGGAAAGGCTCAGGAGACCCACTGAAGAAATCAGCAGAAAGACAGACAGACAGACAGTCCCTCTACACTACAGGCAGACAGACAGACAGTCCCTCTACACTACACTACAGACAGACAGACAGTCCCTCTACACTACAGGCAGACAGACAGGCAGACAGTCCCTCTACACTACACTACAGGCAGACAGACAGGCAGACAGTCCCTCTACACTACAGGCAGACAGTCCCTCTACAGCCAATCAGGCAGACAGCCAGTCCCTCTTCAACCAACCAGACAGGCAGGCATGAAGACCCACTCAGCAACAAAGCCCCAGCCTGCACTACCACCTCCACCACTTCCACCCCCACTTTACAGGCACAGTCCAGGCAGGGGACTCAGCTGAGGGGGAGGCAGAGAGGCTAAAGGTTTGCAGATCTGGGGCTTAAGCAGGGAGAGGGCTGGGGGAAAGTGGGGCAACGGAAGGGAGAGGGCTGGGGAGAGGGCTGGGGGAGAGTGGGGCAATGGAAGGGAGAGGGCTGGGGGAGAGTGGGGCAACGGAAGGGAGAGGGCTGGGGAGAGTGGGGCTACTTAAGGGAGAGGGCTGGGGGAGTGTGGGGCACGGAAGGGAGAGGGCTGGGGGAGAGTGGGGCTACTTAAGGGAGAGGGCTGGGGGAGAGTGGGGCACGGAAGGGAGAGGTCTGGGGGAGAGTGGGGCTACTTAAGGGAGAGGGCTGGGGGAGAGTGGGGCACGGAAGGGAGAGGTCTGGGGGAGAGTGGGGCACGGAAGGGAGAGGGCTGGGGGAGAGTGGGGCACGGAAGGGAGAGGGCTGGGGAAGAGGGCTGGAGGAGAGTGGGGCTACTGAAGGGAGAGGTCTGGGGGAGAGTGGAGCAACGGAAGGGAGAGAGCTGGGGGAGAGTGGGGCTACGGAAGGGAGCGGACTGGAGGAGAGTGGGGCTACGGAAGGGAGTGGGCTGGGGGAGAGTGGGGCTACTGAAAGGAGAGGGCTGGGGGAGAGTGGGGCTACTGAAGGGAGAGAGCTGGGGAAGAGTGGGGCTACAGAAGGGAGAGAGCTGGGGGAGAGTGGGGCTACTGAAAGGAGAGGGCTGGGGAGAGTGGGGCTACTGAAGGGAGAGAGCTGGGGAGTGGGCTGGGGAAGAGTGGGGCTACTAAAGGGAGAGAGCTGCGGACAGTGTACTGAAGGGAGAGGGCTGGGGGAGAGTGGGGCTACGGAAGGGAGTGGGCTGGGGGAGAGTGGGGCTACGAAAGGGAGCGGACTGGAGGAGAGTGGGGCTACAACAGGTAATTACTTCCAGACTTCCAGCATGGATGGAGATCCCATGAGGTTGGCTCCTCAACACTAGAAAACAGTTTACTGGAAGAAGCCAGCATAAGACTAATAAACTGCACCAGGTACAGAAGTAGCAGTTTGTCTGGAGGGAGCACAGTCTTCTCAGTGTTATTGATTGGCTGCATTGTGTCTTTGTTGAGGGGAGAGGGTTGGAGAAGCATGGTAGAACATTTGGTCAGTGGTGTCTGTCTGAATGGTTAACCAGCTGGTCCATTCCTAGCATTCCACAGTAGCATCATGACTTATTCTAAGTCAAGCAACATGTAAGAAACCAGAACTTGATAATAGAGAATAGATCATTTAGTTTCATACAAATTAAATCTTCATCACTGTCAACAGATTTATTCCTCATCACACACACGCATGCTGACGCACACACACACTGCGAGTGACCAACAGGTCCTGACATGCCTGCCAGCTGCATTTCTAATGGACAACAACTGTGATCAATAGCATCATGGAAAACACGAAGTCAAAGGTAAACAATAAATACATAATTAATCCTGCATTTACCCAGGTTAGTCTCATATACATAAAATCTAAATATTCTAATAGGGGAGACTGCGTCATAGAGTTATGGCAAACATAGACAAATAGATTAAACAAATAAATTGCATCATTACCTGACGTGTCCCATAGGCTGAGCTCTATTCTTTTCGTGTCTATTTCAAAACTGGCCGTGTAATTCTCGAACACTGTGGGCACGTAATTCTAAAGAAAAAAGAGACAATCATAGATAATTATAGACAAGTAATAACAATTATTATTATTAGTAGTAGTAGTAGTAGTATTAATTAGTTATAACAAACTTTTGTTTCATTTATCAAGCATCCATTTCTTTGAACTCACCTCTGGAAATATATCCTTTGCGAAGACGTGTAGAAGAGCCGTCTTCCCACATTGACTGTCCCCCACCACAACTATTTTACACTTCACAATCTGACTAGGATCCATCCCGGATTTAAGAGATACTTTCTGACTAGATATTCTCTCCTTCATTGACTTCAGTTTAACGACAGTCCGCTATAGAGAGCTCCACGTTGTATGAAGAAAGTGCGTACACACACGAATGATAGAAAATAGCAGATAATCGGAGCGTAATAAATCCCTTTCTTCTCTCTGATGTCTGCGTTCTCTGTCAGTACTGTGTCTGGTGTCTACAACGGGAACCGGACATTTGCCGGTATTTATACCGAGACCGACGAGCCAATGGAGTTGTCCCTCCCCTCTCTCCACGTGCTGAAAGTGTTGCGGGGCAATGTGGGGACCTGGGTGGTCGGGAGTGTGGTGATCATATGGTCAGTGTGTGATGGCGCCCTCCGTAGGACTTCATTCAAACAGCTCAAATCATGATGGGCTACTTTATTAAAATATTTATAATCTTACCATGTCATTTTAAATTACTTGTGTTCAGAGAGAAAGAGGGAGGGAGAGAGAGAGAGAGAGAGAGAGAGAGAGAGAGAGAGAGAGAGGAGGAGAGAGGAGAGAGAGAGAGAGGAGAGAGAGAGAGAGAGAGAGAGAGAGAGAGAGAGAGAGAGAGAGAGAGACTACAACCCAAAGTACACAACTACACCTAAAAAGGAACTACTCTGATCCATCACAACAATACAAATATGTATCTACTGTCACGGTATAAAGGTCCAGTTCCTAGCCAGGTGTTTACAGCATGTTGCCTTTTAGCCTACTAACTTTATCCTACTAACTAGACAGGATATGCATCACCGTCTACAGTAATAGTCCCTCTTAATGATGTAATAACTGTATGATTCATGTGGGTTATCAGCTTTGACAGCCTGGTTGGACCTTTATTGACTTACGAGGATTGTAAGGGTTGGTGTGAGGTGTGACCCAGGTGCGGTGCAGGATAGACAGTAGGCAGTAGGCAAGGAGGGTGAAACAAGTATCTTTACTGGTGGTCCAAAAGCCAGGATACAAAACAACGGACTATTCACGAAAACAAATGAGGAGCACATAGGTCTCCAAAAAACAGGCTGACAGCAAACAATACGAAATACTAACTCTGACTGGAAAAACACAATGACACAGGGAGAACACTTCTCGAGTACCTGTAACTCCGTCATGTGATCCGACACTGATACGTACTGCTTGACATCAAGGAACTAGCAGAGAAAACTGAGCAAGGGAACACAGGGAAGTGAGGGCATAAATACACAGGTGAATCAGATAGCCACAGGTGACACCAATAGGCAGATAATTAGTCCTGACTGTGAGTGAGGAGGATGACATCTAGTAGTCGCTCCGGAACTGCGACCAACTCCTGTAACAGAGGATTGCAAACATCATTGTATCAAACACCCATTGCAATAATTTTATTTTTATTTTTTTATTTTATTTTTTTATCTATTTTGTTATTATTATATTATTTTTTTTTTTTTTTTTTTTTCGGGGGGAAGGATCAGCTTAATATTGCAGATAGATTGTATCTTCTATCAATGTAATTGTCTGCATCACTTCCAATCCCCCATATTTTTTTTTATTTTTTATATATATATATTCCCCTTTATTACTTTTCAACCCCACCATCCTTTCCCTACTTGGAGTAAATTAGTGAACAACAACGCCCAGGCCTCTACTTCCGGTCCATACTCACTATCTACACCTTATGGACAGAGTTAATTTTACAATAATTCTATATCTATATATATATATATATATATATATATATATACACACACATACACACACACATACATATATATATATATATATATATATACACATATATATATATATATACATATATACATATACATATACACATCTATTTATTTTTTTTCTCCTGAACTTCTTCTACTCTCAACCTCTCCGATCATCTTCATGATGTCCATCCGGTTTGCCTCTAAATGCCATATCTTTCTAACTGTGCTCCTTCCCAAAAGCTCCCAACATACAACCTATATACTTATTATGGACACAGTATGCTTACATTATTAGCTATCTTTGTTATTATTTGTTGTTATTTGTTATTAGTCCCATCCTTCAACTCTATTCAATACCTCCCATCTATCTCTTAACACCATCCATATAGGATTTCTATTTGCCATATATATTTCAACCATACTGTGATGTTTTACAAAAGTTCTGAACCTTTCTATTCTCATTGCTTCTACAGATTGTGAATTAAAAATAAACATTTTTGCTAAAAGTATTATTATATTATTGATTGATTGACTATGACTTTTCAGATCACCCAGTAATGCTATCTGCAAGGTTAGTTCCAGGTAAATATTGCAATCCTTTAGCCATTCCTGGACCTGTGTCCAAAAACAAGCTACAAATGGACAGAACCAAAACAAATGATCTAATGATTCTATCTCTTCACAGCAAAATCTGCAGAGCTGGGAAGATTGTATCCCCCATATAAATAACATTCTATTGGTAGCAAGAATTTTATATAATAATTTAAATTGAAAGATTCTAATTTTTGAATCCGGTGTCGTTTTGCGTGTCAGTTCATAAACACTATGCCATGGGATCGGTACGTCAAAGATCTCTTCCCAACTATTTTGCAATCTATATGGGACTGCTGTCAATCCTTTGGTCCTTAAGTGAAACTGATATACTTTTTTATTTATCACAGTTTTCCTTAACCAATTATGTTCTTTAATGCAAGGCCGACAGACAAGTTCCTTACTTTCTCCCCCTTCAACTTTCCTCTTCCACTTTTGCGGTATGGCTGCAATTATTTGGTTGTAATTTTGGGTAGAGCAGACATTTCCATATGTTTTTATTAGCTGCATGTGCGACATAACTCCACCAGTCCTACCGATGATATCATTTACGAAGATTATACCTTTTTTAAAACATTCTGTCAATAAATATAGGTTTTTTTGTCAATTAGTATATTTGAATTTAACCACAATATTTGTTGCATTATTTGTTCTGTCGTTTCTGGAGGATTAAATTGAAATTGTAACCAACTTTCTATGGCTTGTTTTAGAAATAGTGACATTTGGGAGATTATTTCCTTTTCAAATAACTGAAAGTGAGAGGTTGTAATCTGAATAAAGGGAAAAAGGCCTTTCTTGAACAGTGGGTGAGACAATCTTACTAATTTGCTTGAGAACCAGTTCGGATTTAAGTATAACTTTTGGATGACTGAAGATTTTAGTGATAGGTCTAATGCTTTAATATTTAATAATTTCTGTCCTCCGAATTCATATTCATTATATAAATATGCTCTTTTAATTTTGTCTGGCTTGCCGTTCCAAATAAAATTGAATATTTTTTTCTCATATAATTTAAAAAACTGTTTGCTAGGCGTAGGCAAGACCATAAGCAAATAGGTAAACTGGGATAATACTAAAGAGTTAATCAGGGTGATTTTTCCACAAATTGACAGGTATTTTCCTTTCCATGGTAGTAAGATCTTATCTATTTTTGCTAACTTTCTATTAAAATTTATTGAAGTGAGATCATTTATTTCCTTTGGGATATGTATTCCGAGTATATCCACATCACCATCAGACCATTTTATTGGTAAACTACATGGTAATGTAAAAATTGTATTTTTTAGTGATCCAATACGTAATATAGTACATTTGTCATAATTTGGTTTTAATCCAGAGAGGTTAGAAAATGTATCTAGATCCTCTATGAGGCTGTGGAGGGATTCTAGTTGTGGATCTAAAAGAAAACATGAATCATCTGCGTACAATGACACCTTTGTTTTTAAGCCCTGTATTTCTAATCCTCTGATATTATTATTGGATCTGATTTTAATAGCTAACATCTCGATGGCCACAATAAATAGATATGCCGATAGTGGACAACCTTGTTTCACTCCTCTTGACAGTTTGAAACTTTCTGAGAAATAGCCATTATTTACTATTTTACACCTAGGGTTACTATACATGATTTTGACCCATTTTATAAGAGATTCTCCAAAATTGAAATGCTCCAGG